CCCAAATATTGTTACAACCATAATATTGGAAAAGTGCTCCAGAATGATCATGTAAAAACATCTGTAGAGTTTCAGATTCAAATTGTCAGACCTGCCAAATACTTAAACCTCTAAGTAGAAACAATCCTTGGCCCTATTTGTTGAGAAAAGTATATTTTTATTAGAAGTCAAGTGCATTGCAGAAGTGCCTAGCCAGAACTGAGGATCGTGCACCAAAATCCCTAAGTTCAACTATTTGCTCCCTTAATTGCCTTCTATCGATGAACCCCCCTTGGCCAATCAGGTTTTAGCAAGATGTTTTCAGAACAGTCACTTCAAGTGTAGGTTGGTATCAGGGGTGGGTTCTACTTACCTTTACTACCAGTTTGCAATGGGAGTGCACGTGCTTCTGCGCATGCGCAAATTGTCAATTATGACGTCCAGGCGGGTTTTACTACCAGTTCTAAAGAACCAGACAGAACTGGGAGCAGCCCACCACTGGTTGGTATGCAGCTGCATTCTTCTTCCAGCCAGGTGACCTTGAAGCAGCATCTCGGGGAGATACTGCAATTAATTTCATTTTCCCCAAGCATCCTCTCTCTCATCTACCTTCCCCAGAGTTCATGGCAGGTTGTCACCGCATAGCAATGAAGCACACAAGCAAGCATACAATGCCAGCTGACACAAACTGACAAATATCTAGAACTTAAAATGCACCAAGGCTACATCATTTTACAAAAAGTACTTTTAATTGTAACTATAGATTTTGTCCCATTTACCCACATTTTCCCCATGCATTCATCTGTATATTATGAATAACAATTGATAGCTCATTTAATCATACAATCCCTAACTTGTTTATCTAGTTTCAAATCTTAAGAAAAGTTTATACATTTTTGCAATTGTATCTTCATAATTTGTACATAATTCATTTTCAAATTCCATTTTATCATTTTCAATTCCAATTACCTTTTTGTATATATTAAATCTTACTTTCAGTGGTGTATATGAAAAACTATGTCCCTCTCCAGCCAATTGTTCTCTTGTTAATATTTAAGTTAATCTTAAATTCTCCATCTTCCTGTATTAATAAATCTTGACAGGTTATGATTTTTCTATTGTTTCTCGTTTGTAAAAGTTGTTTTGGGGCACAAATCTGGGTTTGAATTTATTCCATTTTCTTAATATTACACTTCCCACATAATGGTTTTAAGAACTTTATTAACTCTATCATACCCTATGTCAACCAAACCTCAAGTTATGTTTTCCTAATTCTATCGTTCTTCTATTTCTCAGTAACACTCACTCTCTAATCCAAACAAATAGTGGGCTGCAAAACACAATTTAAAGTAAGGTAAATCTAGTCTTCCTCTATGCAACATCATTCATTTTTTATCATAGAGATTCTACCAAACATCACTACAATCATAGTAACTGAAATATAGTGATTAGAAAATAATCCAGCCAAGGTTTTCCCTATAAGTATTAGAACATCTAGAAATATAATAATGGAATTGGCAAAACAGTTCACAAAATTAGAATATTGACCTCATACTTTGTTTACAAACAACTTTATTCAGAAGCACATACATATTGTTGTTGTTGTTGTTAGTTGCGAAGTCGTGTCTGACCCATCGCGACCCCATGGACAACGTTCCTCCTGGCCTTCCTGTCCTCTGGAGTCCATTTAAGCACCTATTGCTTCAATGACTCCGTCCAGCCACCTCGTTCTCTGTTGTCCCCTTGTTCTTTTGCCCTCTATCTTTCCCAGCATTAAGCTCTTCTCCAGTGAGTCCTTCCTTCTCATTAGGTGGCCAAAGTATTTGAGTTTCATCTTCAGGATCTGGCCTTCTAAAGAGCAGTCAGGGTTGATCTCCTCTAGCACTGACCGGTTTGATCACCTTGTAGTCCAAGGGACTTCTCCAGCATCATAGTTCAAAGGCCTCAATTCTTTGGCGCTCAACCTTTCTTATGGTCCAACTTTCACAGCCATACATTGCAACTGGGAACACCATAGCCTTGACTATACACACTTTTGTTGGCAGGATGATGTCTCTCATACATATTACAGCAAGAAAAGAAAAGCAGCCTGAAATGATTCTGGCTCTAGATATCCCAACTGAATCCATTTTGGAAGGTTACAAAATTACTGTTACAATGTTCTCTCTTCTGGATTCTATCAAGGATTTGCTTATCTGGTGCCTAGGAGATTATGGAAAGAGCTGTGTCAAACTTTTAATCTTATGTAGCGTGCAAGGAAAACCTGCAGTAAAATAGTACATGGTGCCCTTCTCAAACAGTATCTGTTCTATTTGTAGCAAAATAATTCCTTTCTAATATTCAGATTAAAACACAATGCTTCTGAAAAAAAAAAACCTTGCTGAAATCATCTATAGTTCAGAATAGCCTTTTCTAGAGATCCAGTGAAGGCTTTAGTTCAGGGCTGTGAAACTCGTGTTGTCATGGCGGCATCACGTAACGTATCAGGACTTTCCCCCCCTTCACTAAACTGGGTGGGGGTGTCGCCAGCGTGTGATGCATCCGGCCCACGGGCCGCAAGTTTGACAGCCCTGCTTTAGTTTTGTTTATTTATTTGTTTATTTATTTATTAGTCATATTTCTATGCCTCCCACTCTCTGAGGACTCTGGGAGGCTCACACCAAAGACAGTATACTAAATAGCATATTGCCCCCAACAATCTGGGTCCTCATTTTACCCACCTCGGAAGGATGGAAGGCTGAGTCAACCTTGAGCCGGTGAGATTTGATCCGCTGATCTGCTGAACTAGCAGTCAGCTGAAGTAGCTGCAGTACTGCACTCTAACCACTGCACCACCTCGGCTCTACTGTTACTGATGACGTCATTAATTTAAATTAATATCTTATTTTTCTCCTTTGCAAATAGCTTACTGATTTTATTCCCCAGAACAGCTACCTTATGAGATAAACTGGGCTAAGAAATAACTACTGGCCCAGTCATCCAGTGAGATGTCATAACTTAAAAGCTGATTATTTTCTTTGCCTTTTACTGCATTTTCTGAATTACTCCAAATTTTAAACATTTATTCGAAGGTATAGCATTGCATGAATAACCTAATCAGTTCCTGCATCATCGGTGCTTTGGCAGATTTTTTGCTTCAATCTGCAGGCTGTTAAGGATATTGTTGTTGTGTTACCAACCAGCAGAGTGTAGAGCACAGAGAAACATTGCTGAGAACAATGAATAAGAGATGTGCAAACTGGTTTATCAAAAGTTTACTTTATAGTGAAAAAACAATCTCATAGTCTTTAAATCAATACAAGTCTTTGCCAGTTAAATCAGTCCAGTGATACAAAAACTCTTCTTACCACACAAACAGTAGTTGGTTGGAATAACAAACTCACTCTGGTTCACAAACCACGATGGTAGCAGATCCATCCAATGATGATAGCACAATGATAGTAACTCCTCACACAATGGTAGCTTATCATCAACTGAATACGTTACAGTACCTTTCTTAAATACGTTCACAACTAGTGATTATTTAATTACAGCATGACTCAGCATTACAATGAATCAGCAGTAAAACTTTAAAGTCACACAATACATATTCATATTAAAGTCACAGAACACATATATTGCCTGGACAACTTGTTAGGCTCAAACCATATCCTAACACAGGCAATAAACACAAAAGATGTTGGATGGCCTGAATTATTGCCCAAATTTTGGCTCTATTTCTGTAGGTCTTTTAACTTTTCTCCTTCTAATAGAAAAGAATGTATGTAGCTCAGGGTTGAACTATGGAGTCCTTAGTGCTAGTCTGAACTTGGTTGTTTTCTTGCAGACATTTCATTACTCTACTAAGCAACAGCATCAGTGCTAGTGAATGTAGGGTTTACTACCTGTTTATATACTGTAGCTTGCCCTGCCATTGTCAGTGGGGGGATATAATCTTCTCTTTTAGTAGGTCCTTGATTAGAGTATTGTTTACTGCTTGATTGTTTGCCTGGTGTTAATTTCAGAGATTTTCTCCTTCTGTACAAACAGTCCTCGACTTAGAATAGTTCATGTAATGACCGTTCAAAGTTACAACGGCACGGAAAAAAGTGACTTATGATCGTTTTTCTCATTTACAACCATTGCAGCATCCCCATGGTCACATGATCAAAATTCAGACGCTTGGCAACCAATTCATCTTTATGATAGGAATCATGTGATCAGCTTTTGTGACCATCTGACAAGCAAAGTCAGCGGGGAATCCAGATTCTCTTAACAACCATGTTACTAAGTTAACAAATGCAATAACCGTGAGAAGAAAAATTGTAAAATGGCCCCAAATCACTCGACAAATGTTTCCCTTAGCAACAACAGAAATTTTGGGCTCAGATTTGGTCGCAACTCGATGAGTACCACATGCAATGGGATTTTGGATCACATGCAATAGGATTTTGGATCGGGGTGAAATGCTACCGGTTTGCTCCAGTTCGGGCGAACCAGTAGTGATAAAAACTACCAGTTCAGGCGAATCAGTAGTTAGCTACTGGTTCAGGTGAACCGATAGTTTAAAAAAGCTACTGGTTCCTCTGAACAAGTATTTCCAATGATCAGCTGTGCTGCGGTGTTTAGCTTTGCTAGAAAGCAGGAAATCCTGCTTTCTAGCGAAGCTAAATCGCGTGGCACAGCTGATCCCCCCCTCACTGTTCTATTTACCTTCCCAAGCTTCCTTTTGGTGTGTACTATGCGTGTGCATGCAGCGTGGCCAGCAAACTGGTAGCAAACTAGTTCAGATTTCACCACCGTTTTGGATGGTTCATTCCCCCACTCCTACCATGTCAACTGGGATCTCAGCTTCATCTTCACCACTGTTTAAAAGGTAGCCGTGGGAAACATGGGGATATTTGCAGTGGTTCTTATTTGTATCAAATGCTTCCTAACAGAATAATTTCCTTTTGGGCCCCCTTGTTTGTGGTAAGGATTTAGGAACTGAAACATTAACAAATACTAAGTACGTATCCATGGGTTTTCTCTTTGACTGGTAGGCTGACGGCTCAAAGGAGTGTGGAGGATGAGGAGGAAGCTGCAAGGGAGCGACGTCGAAGGGAACGTGAGAGACAACTGAGGTCCCAGGCAGAAGAAGGCCTCAACAGCACCTCTGAAGTGGCAATACAAGAAAGCAGGTAAGTCTGTGCCTGGTATATCAACAGAGCAATGAGAGTCAAGCTGAACTACTGTAATGTTTAAAGGAAGTTAAGAAATTTCAGTTAATGCAGAACTGAGTCTTCTCACTAGGCGTTGGTTCATAGGACTCTCAATATTGTCAACACTCAGCTAAAAGGCTGATTTAGTTGTGGAAAAGTCTAGTTTTCTGAAGGACTATCTCTATCAATCTGACTTCCCTTTTATATCAGCAAAAGTAGCTTATCTTAGTCCGCCTGTCTCTGAAAACAGGCAGTTGTCAGGTGTGAGGCATAGGTATTTATCTGCAATGGCTCCAGATTTTTGGAACTCATTGTCTACTGATGTTCATCTATTTCCATTGGTGTAAGCCTTTAAGAAACTCCTCAGAGTTTCAGTCTTATCTTTACTTGTATGGCTGTGGGGACTGCAGTACTTTTTTTTTTTTTTTTTAGTATTATTGGAAGGTAGGGATGCTTAATTAACACAAACATGATCAGTGGAGTTAATTTATGCATTTATTGTTTGCAGAGATTTGCCTCCCGGTTGCCTTGAAGGGGCTTTGTAGCCTAAAAGACAATGTAAAACATAATGATCGACTGTAAAGTCGTCCATCAACTATCATCAGCTATAAATGAATATGTGGCTGATAAAAAAGTATGTAGGCATCTTATTAGGAATAAATTATTTTGACGCACATAATAACACACACACACAATTGCATACCAGTACGCGAGGGACTCCTCAGGGTGCCATCAGCCAGGCAATGTCAGCTGGCGACCCCCAGGGGGAGGGCCTTCTCTGTGGCAACTCCTGCCCTCTGGAATGATTTGCCCCCGGAGATACGAAGGATATCGGATCTCCGGGTCTTTCGCCATGCCCTGAAAACTTTTCTTTTCCATCAAGCAGGGCTGGCGTGAACCCCTCCCCCTTTTTTAGTCTTTTTTAGTTTTTTAGTTTTTAAATTGTCATTGGGTTTTAATTGAATTGTTTTAAATTGGGCCAGTTATGTAATTCTTTTAATAATTTTAAATTTTGTATTGGCATGTGTTTTAGTTCTGGCTGTTCACCGCCCTGAGTCCACTAGGAGAAGGGCAGTATACAAATTGAAATAAATAAATTGAAATAAATAAATACTGAGAAACAGGAATACATGATCTGCGTGTTATGCCAGCACACCAAATGAATCAACTTCCTGGGGTTGCAGGTTAAGTACTGCACTGTGGATACAGTAATATTCAGGAATATCAGGGACTTTCCCTAAATTTAGCTTGCCAAATCTAGTGAAGGGTTTTCCAGATATAAGGGATTCCATCTCTTAGAATTTCCCACACAGCCAACTCTGGATGTTGTTGCAACAGTGTGACTGGAGTACATCAGATTGGGGAAGGGCTGCTCTGTGTGATCAGTCAGGGAGCAGCCATCAACCAGACAGTCAGCATAAATGGGCTTAATAAGTACAGGTTGTCCTTGGCTTAAAATCATTCATTTAGTGATCGTTCGAAGTTACAACATCACTGAGAAAAGTGATGCAGATCCTTTTGCAACCTTCTGACGAGCAAAGTCAATGGAGAAGCCAGATTCACTTAGCAACTGTGTTACTAACTTAACAAGTGCATTGATTTCACTTAACTGTGACAAGAAAGGTTGTAAAATGGGGCAAAACTCACTTAACAACTGTCTCACTTAGCAACATAAATTTTGGGCTCAACTGTGGTCGTAAGTCGAGGACTACTTGTATCATATTTTGTGATCTTCCATGCAAATACTTTTAGAATGAACTGCATTGATTAGTGTACCAGGATGGATCATCGTGATAGGTTGGTCAGTTCTCCAAATTTGGATCAGCCATTCACTGGACAATCTCTGCTGGAATCCTTGTGGCAGCTGTTATGTGCACACCCATACATTCTCAGTTATTTACAAATTGTAAATACTTGTACAATATAAATATTTACTTGTAAGATGTCAGGGAAAAGAAGAATGTTTTGCTGCTGAAAAGACAGTGAGTGATTTTCAGGCAGGCCCCTTTAGGGAGAATATTTCACAAATAGGCCCTCTATCTTGTAGCCATTAGCTGAAGTTCATTTGATAGTAGCAATTGAAGGAACTCTGTCCAGAGAGCTTAAACCAGCAAATGAGGATCCTAGCAACAAAGATCCCAACCATACTTTGGAGAAGGCATGTGAATGAACCCTCACTGCAAACTCATCATTTTATTCTTTTCCTTCAGCTTCAGAAATGCCAATACCCTCAGATATTTTAGCTGCTTGAAATGCAGAGCTGCTACCTGAGGCTTAGGATGGAGTGACAGCCTTCTCCAAAAGCTGTCCAGAGTGATTGCTTCAAAACGGGTTGTGAGACAGCAATAGGAGAATGGAGGACTAGCCACAAAGCATATTCCCTATCGTTCCTCAGCATCTTCCACTTTGGGCCACTACATCAGTGTGCATGATATGGAAATGAATCTTAATAAAGTATCTCTCTATTAGTTGTTTCTAATTATGAAAGTGTCTCTTGTACATTTGCTGGTAGAAATTGTAGACAAATCTATGTAAGCCTTACTTAACTAAAATGTATTGATTTTTTGGAGATTCTTTGCCTAAAGCTCCCAGAGCAGAAAATAACAAGCAACAAACACTGTGAAAACCAATATTTTCCACTAGGTCAGTGGGAGGCGGCCCAAATTTATTTTTACAAAGCCCTTTGCAATGCAAAGTCTGTATCAGTCAAGGCAGTCTGTGTCCGCCAGTTGCTTCTCCTAGCAAATCCTGTTGCTGGTAGAGGGTGGTGTGTGTGTGTATGTGTGTGTGTGTGTGTGTTTGTGTGTGTGTGTGTGTGTGTGTGAATGCATAAGCCTACGGCTGATTCTGGCTACTGCATGTGCCAGCTTTACTTTTGTTCTTCAGAAGTGGGGACCCTAGAGAAGGTGTTCCAGTTGAAGTATAATTGAAACAAAGCACCCCTTTTAAATTTTGCACAGCTTTATATCCCATTTATTCAGGGATGGGCTTCAAAAGTTTTAGCAAGGGATTCTCTGCCCGGTTGCTGGGTGGGCATGGCCATGGTGGGCGTGGCCTAATTGGCCTCCTGCACCATGGTGGGGGAGCATTTTTGCCCTCCCTGGGCTCCGGAGGCTTTTCTTAAGCCTCCAGGAGGGCAAAAACGGCCTCCCCAGTCTCTGGAGGCCCTCTGGAGGCTGGAAACGGGCCCATTTCTGGCCTTCCTGAACTTCCGGCATACCTGTTTTTCACCCTCCCCGAGCCTCTGTGTGCACCCTGTACTTACCTGCATCCAAAATGGGCTGCGTGAGGACTCCTGGGAGGGGCAGGGTAGAGTGGGAGGGGCCAGCCAGGAGTGGGATTTGGGGGTTCTCTGAACTGCATAGAATCTTAGCTAGAGGTTCTCCCAAACCCTTGCAAACCCCCAGGAGCCCACTCTTGCATTTATTGTGGGAGCTTCATTTATGGAGAGACCCCATGTTTTCACTAGAAGGCAAGCACTTGGAAGGGAAGGAAACTGATTGACGAAATGGAGGATAGAAGGGAACATTTCTGCTTTGACTTGCCTGGCAGTTACTCCCTGCAAACATTTCACCAACCTAGCTGGAGCAGGCCCAGGGGCCAGCAATGGCAGAAGGAAACTGAATAGTGGTGGTATATTCCTTCTTCACACTTTTCAGTCCACCATTAGAAGGGCTCCTCTCACTCTTAACTTTTCATTGGTTAGGACTAAGCCATATGCTTGCTGCAACAACATTCAATTGGAAAACAAAGCCTTAGTGATATCTAGTGGCAATAGGAGTGGTTCTGGAAAAGTTAATTAAAAAGATATACACACAAGGAATTATTTCAGGAAAAAAACAATGTTTCTTTTCCAATGGACTTGATGGTTCCATTCTCCTCCCTAGCCATTTCTGCAGCTGTGGATTCAGACTACAAAAGCCAGGATGCTAATATAGATCTCCCCCACTTTGGTAAACTCAACTCCCCCTTACAGTGACTCATCCACTTCTGGTAAGCTATGTTGCTGTACATAGCCCCTTCTAAAACACAGCTATCATAACTTGCCTGTAGGTCCAGATTACCTTTGCTTGAAATCCCTTACTTAGTTTCTTACTCAAAAGCAGCCATTCCCAACCAGATGTTCTCCAGATGTTTCCCTGGCTAAAGACAACAGCATTAACGGTCAAGGCTGATGGGAGTGGTAGATCCCCAAATCCGGCAGACATGGAGCTGGGGGAGACTGTACTGATCTCCGTGTTTAGAAGTTAGTCACTTCTGAGTATTGTAACTAATGTTTTGGACACAAGTAAGGGAGTGTGTATTATTTCCATGCCTTTGTGATTTCCTGAGCACCTGGCTGATTACATTAAGGAGGAAAAAATGCTCCACTAAATTTCTATTCAGACTTAAAATTTCAATAAAAATCCTCTTTAGAACAGACTCTAAATCTCTTCAAATGTAGACATGTCTTCATGTTTTTGCCCATATGAAATGACAGTTTCAATTCCTTTTTCCAAGTCCCCCCGCCCCCAGCAATAGTTTTCAAATTAATTTACATTCTTTGTTTGGTAGGGGAAAAGTAGATCTTTTGAGTAATTTTCCAGAGTTTGCTTCTCTCAATCCAATTTACCTCACAAGGCTGGCTGTGGGAACTAAATACAATGAGGGGATATTCTGTGTGTTGCTTCCTAAATCAAAGGTGAGCTATAAATCAAATAAATAAATCGTTAAGGGGTGCTGAGACATTCTTTTGATACCCCAAAGAATTTATTTGCTTTACTTTGTCAGAAAAGAAGAGTCACTTTTTATTTCTTCCAACATCAGAAAAATCAGTGTTTTAAAATCCTATTGATTAAATTGGTGGTGAAGGTGATTTTTTTTAAAAAAATCCATACTACTCAACTGCCTGGAAGAAATTGGTATATATAATAAAATGTGGCAAGCTGTTTTTAAGATTCTCCTGTCTAAGTGAATTAGAAAAAAAGGGTAGGTAATCTTTTATGGCCCGTGAGGCACATTTGTGAGATGTTTGTAGCTGCAATGTTAACTTTTTTCCTAACAAAAGACAGCCATTGTGAACATGCTGTGATTTCCCCCCATCGAACAGAAAGAAAATAGGGGATGTTACTTCTAGAAAGACCTCTCTAGCTGTCATCCCAACTTCTCTATCATTCTAGACTGTTTTTGCCTTGTTTTCTGGGCAGGTAGATGTTGTTTCAAGTTACACCCCACAGAGTGAACATTTGGTGATTTAATCTTCTAAAAAAATCCAATGGTGTTTCTGTGGTTCTGAGGTTTTGTCAGGCACAAAGAATCAGGACCATATGTTAAGATGCAGTCAAGAAGATTTATTGCTCAAGCCTATACACAAGAATCTAGTCAATTAAAGCTCAGTGGCGGTGCTAAATTGACAGTAGATAAGGGTCAATGGGATTCAAGAGGGAACGTACTTAGACTGTGGGAATGTTATAATTCCAGGGTGATTACTTGATTAACTCTGGCCCCTGGTTCTGCCTGTTTTTCTCCTACAGGTTTTCTCTTAAACACAGGTAATGCTGTGTATTAGTACTTAATTTTTGCAGGATGCCAATTTCTTGTTTATTAATTTTTAATTAAAAGAATGTTTTAAAACATATGTTAGGGAGCCAAGACTTGAATTATTCTTCAGCTAGGTCAGGGGTCGGCAGCCTTAAACACTCAAAGAACCACAAAGGTCCTAACCGGAAGCCCCCGTTCAATTCTGGAGCCGACCGGAAGTCTGGTTTCCCCCCACCATAGAGTCTCCTCCTAGCGCGGCATCCTTTTTTCTCTACCTGTCCTAACCGAAAGCCCTATCAATTGTGGAGCTGACAGCAGAGGGATGAAAGAGCCACATGTGGCTCCAGAGCTGCTGGTTGCTGACCTCTGAGCTATGTCATCTTGAGCACCTGAGAAGAAAATAACTGCTGATTCCTTTTAATTTCTCCCAGTGTTTTCCTCTATCATCTTACAAGTATATTTATATTTATAACATAACATATAACATTTGTATATAATAACATTTGTATAATATAACATTTGTATGGTATCCTTAATAAAACTTGGTTCAGATTAATAAAACTGGGTTAGAGGTGCCCAGTCCCTCTGCTCCATGGGAAAAAGAAACATCAGTATTAAAAAGGAGAGGAAACCAGAAAAAGAACGAAGCAATGCTCCCTTCCATTTGCTTGTAATTATACTAGGATCTCCCTTTTACTTAACAGTGTTCTAGAGGCTTGTGCATCTCTGTATTGAATTGCAATGGATCATAAGTTTGGAATGCAGTCTGTATATTTTGAAGGCCAATTGCTGGACTCTGGCCAGTTGCATTTCAGTGCTTCTTTCCTCTCTTCGTTTATTAATGAATGGAAGAGAAGAGTCATTCTTTATCTTCTTCCCTCCCTCCCACCATTTCTCTCTCTCTTTTTTTTTTCTCTCTCTCTCTCCCTCCCTCCATCTCTTACACACATACACATCCCACAATTAAACATGGGTTTCGGCTCTAGTGAGCTCCTGCAAATCTATCAAGTACTTTGCTTGCTTCAATTAGAATTCTCTGTGTTAATTAGTGTTTAGTGGTGGGAATTTTTTTTGATAACCTTGTTAGGGAACACACAGAAGTCCATTGACAGGCTGTTTGTTGGTAAGTTTAAGGGCAGAATTTGGACCAGCTTGTTATTTCAGAGCAAACTCCTTTTTATCCTGAGGCAAATTTAAAAGTGAGCTGGTGTCTTTTTTGCATTCTTGATCCAGTTCTTGCTGATATTATTCAAATGACAATCTCAAAAGTACCTTTCCCAATACAATTATTTCACCTCCATGCCAAGCTTTGCTACCATCAATCTTTTTTATATCACACAGTTCCCACAGGCCCAGAACCTTTAGTCTTCATTCTTTGTTCTTCTTATACATTTAAGCAAGTCCAGCTTCTTAGAGGTTTTTTTGCTCCGAGCCATCCCTGCTGTTAGAAATCTAGCCTCGAAGTTTGTGGCATCCTTGCCTTCTGGAATCTTACCTTGCCTTCTGGATTTAGTTCACACACTCAATCATGATTTGTTTAACCAAGAAATGCCAAATATATTACACTTAATTGATTTAAACTTCATACAACATTGTAAGCCATGTTTTACAGATCAGAAGGGCTCACAAAACATGCTAGAAAATAAATGGTTTTCACCATTCCTTTCCCTTACTTTTAATTCTGAATGATATGTAGAAGTGACAATGCATCAGGTATCCTTAATTCATTAAATGCCTCTTCTTTGGTCCCTGTGCCATTGTGAGGGAATAGAAATGGGTCAGAATGTAGGATGGTCTTCCTTCTCCATCTTTGCATTTTCCAGTACCTCAGGTGACTGTAGAGGAAGGGAAATGGTGGAACATGTGTGATGTTGTCATGCTAGGGGTGTCATGTTTTCATCACGTGAAGCATCACAACTTTTTTCCCCTTTGCTAAACCGGGGGTGGGCATGGCCAGTGCGTGGAGTATCTGGCCCATGGGCCATGAGTTTGACACCCCTGTGTCATGCAAATGCCAGGACATATGTATCTGTATCAGATGTTGGGATGCAAGTATAATTGCTGTATTTGTGATTATGTTATCATACCTGTTTTCATTTTGGTGTCCTTCCTAAGATACCCGCTGTAGATACCTCCCTAAATCCCAATGTTTCTGACAGAAACCAAGTTGTGATAGTGATAGAATGATAGTGGCAATAATAAAGCAGATGTCTTAGTATGATGTGTGGACTTAGCTTATGCAATAGATCACCAACATACATTTTGGGACTAAAGAATAAAATCAAACATTAGGAAGAACCATGCTTTGGAAGGGAGTGAGGGAGAGGAATTGATGAAGGCATGTGGCAACATCAAGAGGCAAGCTCTGTCCTTTGTGTATTTCCAGACAACATTGTAATTCATGAACAACATGGCAGTACTTGTCATGATGCCACCATGCACATTTGGGCATCACTCTGGTCAGGAACAGAAATCTATACTTTGCACATAAACAGACACAATGTTCATAACTTTCTGTATGAACCTGGTAGTGTTCAACATCCTTTTTTCCTCATCTTTCAGAATTGATGGGAAGCCTCCTGGAACCTTAGAACTGGAAGAAGATGAGGGCTTTAGTGACTGGTCCCAGAAACTTGAACAGCTCAAGCAGCGATCGGGAGGAGAGGGAGTACAAGAAATTCACCAAGGGGAATGCAGAGAAGCCCAAGAAGCAGAGCCTATACAGTGTGAAGAAAGGTAGGGAATCTTTTTCACTGCTTGAAAGGAAGTAGTAACTAAACAAGAACCAACCAGAAAAGCTGGAAAAGACCTAGCAGATTCCTTGAACTTTGAAGTAAGACCCACTGAATTTGCTCTGGATATGGCATGACTGAATGTATACTCCAAACATATAATATATTGCAAACCAGGCAGATTTCTATTTGACATTCATGTTAGCTTGGTCAAATACAGTGTAGCTTGACTAACTGCCATGCCATGGCCGTCGTCACATGTCAACCTTAACTTGGTTAATTTTCATATGGTTGGTCAATTAAACCCACGTTTCTGGTTTTATACAACATATTTAACCATAAGCTAAATACCTTGATTAGGGGTAGTGGAGATACAATACAGGGGTGGGCTTCTGGGGGTTCGCAGGGGTTCGGGAGAACCTCTAGCTAAGATTCTGTGCAATTTGGAGAACCCCCAAATCCCACTCCTGGCTGGCCCTGCCCCACCCCTCCCAGGAGTTACCACGCAGTCTGTTTTGGGTGCAGGTAAGTACAGGGCGCACGCAGTGGCTCAGGGAGGGCAAAAAATGGGCCTACCAGAAGTTCAGGAAGGCCTCCGGAGCCTGGGGAGGGCAAAACTCCCCTTGCTGTGGTGCAGGAGGCCGACTAGGCCATGCCCACTATGGCCACGTCCACCTAGCAACCGAGCAGAGAATCCCTTGCTAAAATTTTTGAAGCCCACCCCTGATATAATATACCAGACAACAGTGTGGTGGCTAACTTGTAGTTTGGTATGTTTTGCAAACAGAGCCAAAGAAATTGCTTGGAACAATGAACCAGACTGATTGTTTCTGTGTTATTATCAAATTTATATATTATCAAATTTATTTGTCCCCCATCTCACAGTTTGAAGCAACTCTGAGCAACATATTGTAGCAATTGGTTTGTTTTTCTTAAATGGTTCTTAACCGAAGCCCTTTACCTTTAAAAACTTCATGACTAGGCAGAACACTTAATCAAATTGTAATTAAAGATTTAAGTCACCTGGGGAGCTTCCTTTCCCAGTGGTATAAGCATAAAGCATTTTCCAGGGAAGAAGATGCCAACCCAGGCTTAAGGTAGGCTAAAAGGCCTTACATGAATATATTTGTTCTTATATCAGCATTAAATTACTAGCTTCATAAACACAAAAAATCTCCATATATTACTAAAGTCAGCTTCCACTAATCTTAGCCATATAGTTGCCTTAAAAATTCCAGGCACAAAAGAATTGTAACCGACTGACACAGTTTGCAATTGTATGGATGATGGATTTATGTTTTATGTTTTATTTTAAAATAAAAAAAATTCTACCAAAAATAAAATAAAATCCAGGTCTCTAAAAAGTTACTTTCTTTATTATGAAAGTCATTTTTTTCAGAATTTTTGCCTCTACTTAACTGCTAAAGGTACAAAAACCTATCTTCTTTTGCTCCAGGGTCAACCTAAGTGCTTCTCAACAATTAGGCAGGGAGCTTTTGGAATAGCAAAACAAACAAACAAACCAAATCTCTTAACTCTTGTGATCTGCAAACTTTGTCTTAGTATGTTGTGTGAATGTAGTCAGTTGTAGTTTATTCCACAACCTGTGGTTAATCACTTCAACTATTGGTGCTTCTCAAATGATTATCTGTGGAATTAATTTGTAGTATGTATGTTTGTGAATTTACTTGCATGCCTTTGCAGGCATTGTTTAATTTTGTCACCCCATCTTTTTGTAAAAAATATAGCTGCATATAAACATGTGTTTGAACTGGTAAAGTATTTCAACTGGTAGAAAAAAAATGTAGAACACCTGCCACAGCTCAGAGCAAAGGAGGGGAAAGGGTGTTACCAACTTTAACTGAGGGAAATACATTTAGGAAGGATAAAACTTAAATTTTCTACTTTGTGGACTCAACTGAAATGGAAGTGGATTTCTAGCCATGCGTTTTCTAAATTGTAATTCTATTTCAAGGCCTTTAGTAAGATACCTTCAGTTTTATCACCACAACCACCACTTTCCCAATCTCGGGGTTTTATTTTTAGAGTTTCTGAAAAAATGTTCTGTAGTTTCAAATGTTAAAGCAAGGAGGTTTAAATCTCTAATGCTGGCACATAACTCGGAAGAGTTTTCCTTTGGAAAACTTAATTCATTATGCTTAAGTTTCTTTTGGGGTCCCCCCTCCTCCTTTCCCCCCCTCTGTAATGGTTAGCTCTTTCAGGTCCAGGAAGATTTATTGTGAAATTGAGTACATTAAGCAAAATTTCTCCTACACACAACATAAGTGCAAACTCAATCATCTCTTCCTCCAAACATCTCTGCTTAACTCATTTTCTTCAGCAAGGACAGAACTGGATAAACCTCAACATCCTTTTTTCTCCGTGTTGCAGGCACTTACTTTTATTTTTAGATTTCCTTTCAATATCTTCAACTTTACTTCAGTGAAACTGTGCAAGCAATCATTTTTAGAGAGGTTGGCCCATTTGCCCTAACCTAAGAATGCCACACACACAACAGCATGCTGAGAAAAAGGAGGAGGAAAGATTCAGGAAGCAATTATTTGAAGCAGCTGTTTCAGCTGTTTGGATAAGGGCGAGGAGAGAATTAAAAGAAGCTGCTTGCTTCTGCTCAGGAAGACAGAGCAGAAACAGATACAGTTTTTAAGTTTGAAGGTAGGTTTCCCCTTGAAGAAATTCCTTTAATGAAATAAAGCAATGACTCTAAAATTAAAATTCCTGTGGAGAATTGGAGAATAATGTTGGGCAAACAGTATCCCATTCCACCCCGCCCCAGTATTTGTGAGTGCGATTATGTCCTTTTTCATTACCAAAAAAAAATCAAACTTATTAAGCTATGTTACACAGCAAAATATTTCCATGAATTTTGAAACTAATAAACATTCTTAAAAATAAAGATGATAGACTTCAGTCCTTTGCTTGGTTTGGATGTGGGTTTATGTACCCTACACTTTAGAAATTGGAATGTGCTTTTCACTACCTTTGGCAAATGAAATCAGCTTTTGAAATTGTATTGCTGAATGAAAATAGATTTAAAGAAATGATTTGGAATCAACTTAATAGAAGTTCTTTTCACAGAGTAAGTGTGATATAGTGGTTAAGGCACCAAGCTAGAAACTTGGAGACTGTGAGTTCAAAGCCAGCTGGTTGAACTTGAGCTATTCACATGCTCTCAGCCAGAGGAAGCAAGCAATGGCAAATCATTTCTGAAAAGTTTGCCAAGAAAACTGCAGGGACCTGTATAGGCAGTCACCAGGGGTCAATGCTAACTCAAAGGCACCAAAGGGGTGTGGGGATATTTTAATGTCAATGACTCAAAACAGACCAGGTGTCTCATAAATATAGTGTCATGTCTTTTTTCTCAGTAAAATTCTTTTTTGCTGAAGAGATTTGTGACTTGATATAATAGTTGTCTTCAGAATACGCTTTGAAGGTTGTAAATGTTTTTTTATTATTATTATTAATCCGGTCCATAATTCATGTGGGTTTTGCTTTTGGTCTAGGTGGAAGATAGTCAAAACAGCACATCTAAGATATAACTAGCATTCAATAGAATAATTTGGCAGGTGCATTTGTTTTGCATGTTCTCTTGTAGTAATATGCTGCTCTTCAAAATAGTTCAAAGGAACTATATAAATATAGTATAACATTTTGTACTGCCTACACATGCATGCCCAGATGTTTCTGGTAAGGATATTGTGGGTCAGATGCAGGTTAAGTCAACTTCAATTTAGTTTTTACATGCAAAAGTAATTATTTTAGCAAGCTCCAAGTAATAGGACTTAGGTTTAGGAAATGGAAATGGGAAATGATTTGAGGGACAAATTATATGTGATGTTTGACATTTTCCTTGATAAATTATAGCACTATTCCACGAGGCTCACTCTACCTCTAGATGTCTTAAATGAGCTTGAACTCTTCTCTTACAAAGTAGAAAACTGGTAGTGAATTTTCTACTGTAATAAACAGCTTATACCTTCTGTGACCTTGAAAATCGTAAAATAGGATTTGGAATGCATTGTGAAGGCCACATGTGTATTAGCTGAACCTATTCTGGTTCATAAACTTCTAATTATTTTAAATACATTAGTACAGACTTAGAGGAGAAATGAAGCTTGTGTGACTTTCAAGTATAGACTTTCAGAACTGCAGTACTTTGGAGTGGAACCAGTAAGCTTGCTATTAATTTTTGGCTGATGCGGAGCTAATTGCTATAAAGTGGTACAGAACTACTGTGTAAAAATGTCTTTGAATAAGGCTATTTTAGTTACTCAAATAATATTGTAAACCAGGTTTGTATTAAATGCTAGGTTTATGTCGTAAATCTGAAATATTTTGGAGTAGCAATTATAACTTTCTTACCTATTGAAGAGGGCAATTCTGCTTGTTTTAAAATAGTACAATTTTCTTATTAATGCATGAATGTAGATTTACTTTGGAAGACAAATGTGGAGTTTTGCTCCAAGCTAGCAAGGGGTAAGGTGGGGCATTAAATTATGTTTATGTTTTTAGACTTAAATTCTTAAGAGTTCTTAAGTCAGATCCCATTTGTAGTCAGGTGTCTTTTCCTTTCCTAGTGGTTTGCATAGAATGGGCTTTTAGAGGGAGCTTTCATTCTAAACAGTAACATGGAATGTGGCCTTTCTCCAGTGAAGTACGATCCAAACGCCACGTAACAGTTTGGTTTCATTGAGTGGGTATTGATTTATTCTTCAGAAAGTCTAGAATGTGACTGGATGATTCTAATGATAATTGGAAGCAAGCTTGAGATTCCCAGCAGTAAATTTCTGCTCATGCTGATTTCCATCTCCTTTCAACCAGGTTGCCTGTTTTTCTTCCTTTGGCTGAAGGCTCCACTCCGCCTTTGAGCAATATATTATTATTATTATTATTATTATTATTATTATTATTATTATTATTATTATTATTAATCTTTAGTGAGATTCACAGCCTTTGAGGCTGGTTAATAGCTCAGCAGCTCGAGTCCTAACCAAGGACCTAGGAACTGTTAAGGTATCGTTGGAGGATGTAAGCTGTTCCGAGTAAGGTGGTTTTTTGTAGAGTCAAAATGTTCAAGTCCGGTAAATTTAGGATTTCTAAATAGCAGGGTAGCCCTTTGGGTATTGCCCCAAGGGCTCCAATTACAATTGGGACAACACACAATTTCTTTTTCCACAGTCGCTCAACTTCAATTTGCAAGTCCCGGTACTTTGTGATTTTTTCTTGCTGCTAATCTTTAATCTGTGCATCACCAGGTATTGCAATGTCAATGAACCACACTTTTCTCTTTTCAACTATTGTTATGTCAGGTGTGTTGTGGACCAAGTGCCTGTCAGTCTGAATCCTGAAGTCCCACAAGATCTTGAGTTTCTCATTCTCTAAAACTTTCTCAACCTGATGTTCCCAGTGGTTTTTGCTGTACTCAAATCCAAACTTCTGGCACACTTTACAGTGAATGATGTTAGAAACACGGTCATGGCGTTGTAGGCAGTAGTGGGATTCTGCCGGTTCTGCCCTTTGCCCTGCCCCTCCACACCACTGGGCGAGGGGTGGGTGAGCAAGCAATTTAACAAACGGTTCAGTGTTTTTTTATAATTTTATTGGCCTCGTAGCTGCCGCGGGGCTTCAAAGGGCCCCCTACAGCTAATCAATGTTAAAAGAAAACAAATGAGTAGACCGATGCCTGCAAAAATAAATTGGTAGACCCAGTGGTGGGATTCTACTTCGGTAGAACCGGTTGTTAAGTAGTTAAGTAGTTAAGCCAGTGGTTGCCAAAGTGGGTGGTACCTCCCCCTGGGGGGCGGTGGAATGCCTTAGGGGGCGGTTAGAAGCAAGGGGGGCGGCAGGGGGGGCTAAGTGGCAAGGAGGGTGGCCCCCACCCTTTGGCCTGTGCCTCGCAGCACTTACCTCCTTGCAAGCAAACAGCAAGAAAAAACAGCCCCTTCAGCTTCAGCATCGGTTAATTAGCACAAGTTGATTAGATCGGCCTCCCAACTCTCAGCTGATTTGCTCTCAGCTGTTTTGCGCAGGCTCTTTTGCAAGCTCTTGTTTTGCAAGTTCTTTGCTTGCTGCAAAGAGTGCTCGAGCAGATTTGTTTTCCCCTAGCTATGCTGAAAAAGCGAAACTGAAAGTAAAGCAGGGTCTTTGCTGCAATGTGACAAAATGAGGCAGAGAGAGATTACTTTTTCATTTTTCCCCACCAAAAAAGGTAGGTGCAAAACTGCAAACAATGGGAAATTTAGGGCAAAAGAGGAAAGTTCAAGATTTTAAAACACAAAAGAAAAAAAGCTCTATTTAACTAGGGAATTGTAATAATTGAGATACTATTAATTGTATATTGTGTTGAAAGCAGAAATGGTTAAGTTGTGGTTTGGAAGAATATATGGGGGAAATTATTTGGTTTATTATTATTGGTAAATATAATTAATTGATTTGTAAGAAATTGGATTGCATGGAAATAATTGGAATATTCATGTTCATATTGATTAATATACAAAAAAGGTAGTTATATAACTAATTGATTTATATTAAAATGTTGAATTTGTATTAAACAACTATAATATTACATAATTAACCAATGTGAGGATGAATATAAAAATAGATGACAATGGGAAGGGGTATAATATAGAATAGAAGGGAAAAATTGAATTTGATTAAGATTAGAGATGAGGATGATATTGGTTTTTTACAAAAATAGATGAGGAATAAATATGGCAAAAAGGAAATATAGAAATTGTAAATTTAATTGAAATGACTAAACACTGTTTAAATTTGTGAACCGGCCAAATACTCTGTTCAAAGAAAATACATTGTATGTTTGTATGTGTGTTTCTAATTATTGCTATCTATTCATATTTGTTCTCTTTTATTCTTTAAAGTTTAACAATTCATTATCTTAATATCTTTATATTTGTTTGGGGTTGGCTTTCTTCCCTTTCATCTTTTTTATTGTACAGCAATCTTTCTCCTCAAACCTACCACCTCTCTTTCTTTTCCTTCTTACTTTCTCTTCCCCCTTCTTCTTCTCCTCCCTACTTTCTCTTACTTTCTCCTTCTCCTCCTCTCTTCCTCCCTCTCTTACCCTCCCTCCTACTCTAATTTCCCTTCCCTTCCTTCATCCCTCTCTATTGCTGTATCCTTTTATGCATATGGACTACTCAGAGGGCTGAAAAAGTTACTTTTGACTGGTCCTCGCAGTTTTGACCAGTCCTTGAACTTACGACTGTCCTCACATTTTATATTTTTGCCCTATCTTGTCACCATGGTGAAGAGAAACAGTTGTGAAATGAGTGACACGGTTGTTAAGAATGCTACAATGGGCATAAATGATGACCAGTCATAAGTGCGAAGACCGGTCAAAAGTGCGAGGACCTGTCAGAAATCACTTTTTTCAGCCCTCTGGGTAGTCCTTTTGTGCATATGGACTACTCTGAGGGCTATTTTTGACTGGTCCTCGCACTTTTGACCAGTCTTCGAACTTACAACTGTCCTCACATTTTACGTTTATACCCTATCTTGTCCCCATGGTGAAGAGAAGCAGTTGTGAAATGAGTGACACGGTTGTTAAGAATGCCGCAACGGGCATAAATGTGAGGATGGTCATAAGTGCGAGGACTGGTCAAAAGTGCGAGGACCAGTCAGAAATGACTTTTTTCAGCCCTCTGAGTAGTCCCTATGCAGATAGCCACGCCACACCCTCACATGACCAGCTAGCCACGCCCACCCGGTCACGTGACCAGCTAGCCACGCCCACCCGGTCACGTGACCAGCTAGCCACGCCCACCGGTCACGTGACCAGCTAGCCACGCCCACCCGGTCACATGACCACCAAGCCACACCCCCAACTAAGCCACACCCACAGAACCAGTTGTTAAAAAAATTGAATCCCACCACTGGTTGTAGGTAGTCAGTTTGTGAAATTTTGCTACACCCACTAATCAGGTGGTTGACTGTCTCATCTTTCTCATTGCAGAGGCGGTATTTGCTGTTGGTGGTAACATGTTTAATTTTTGCCTTCATGAAATTTGTGGCTAGGGCTCGTTCTTGAGCTGCCAAAATAAAGCTTTCTGTTTCTTTTTTCAGTACTCCTGATCTTAACCAGTTCCAAGTTAGTTTCTGGTCAGCTTTGCCTTCAATACTTTTCAAGTATTGGCCATGCAGAGCTTTGCTTTTCCAATTTTCAGCTCGCTGCTCAATTAATTCTTTCTTATATTCTGCTTTTGTTTTAGTTGTCTTTAAAAGGCCTCCTTTATTTACTTCCTTAATCATTGGTTCTTCACTTTTCTGGATGTAATCATTCAAGCTGCGTTTTTCTTCTTCCACAGTCTGCTTTACTTGTTATTAATAATTATTATTATTATTATTATTATTATTATTATTATTATTATTATTATTTAATCTTTAGTGAGATTCACAGCCTTTGAGGCTGGTTAATAGCTCAGCAGCTCGAGTCCTAACCAAGGACCTAGGAACTGTTAAGGTATCGTCGGAGGATGTAAGCTGTTCCGAGTAAAGTGGTTTTTTGTAGAGTCAAAATGTTCAAGTCCGGCAAATTTAGAATTTCTAAATAGCGGGATAGCCCTTTGGGTATTGCCCCAAGGGCTCCAATTACATTGGGACAACACACAATTTCTTTTTCCACAGTCGCTCAACTTCAATTTGCAAGTCCCGGTACTTTGTGATTTTTTCTTGCTGTTGTTGTTGTTGTTGTTGTTGTTGTTGTTGTTGTTGTTATTATTAATCTGTCAACAAGTTCAAGGAAACAAGTAACAGTATAGACATAGACATGGACACATGAAAAAAATTGGCACAAATAAAAGGATATAAATAGGCAAAACATAGCCATAAACACATAGAATGATTACATATAAATGGGGACAGTAGGACAGGGACGGTAGGCACGCTAGTGCGCTTATGCACGCCCCCTTATATGCTTCAGGCCACTCTCCCCCAAAGCACTGGGCTGGAATTGGCTCAAAAGCAAAGTGATAATAATCATGATAATCAACATTAATTATAATTATAATTATAATGAATAGGTTCCAGTCATGTTTTAATGTTTCTTTTTTTACCATATTAAACATTATAATTTACTGTGCCCTTTTTAGAGGGCACAGTAAAGCCAGTAAATGTAAATTCCCCATTGGAAGAAATATATAACATAAATATTTTTGTGCAATGAAGAAAGACATTTGGATAGTCTCATTTGGATGTCCAGATGATTATGTTATACCTGGGAACTAGAGTCTATTACCTTCAGGATGCCAGTGCTCCACATCAATATTTCCAAAATTCTTTTTCACTATGCATGAATAATTGCCTTGGCTCGAAGGGGAATATTATAATATTTAGTCTTCACAGATATCTATCACTTCACCAAGCAATTGCTCTCTTTAAAATCAAACTGGCAGGAATTATTATCTTTTAAATTAGTAGAGTAAGCTTGTTTGTGACTTTAAAAATATTAAAAATTGCATTTCTTTCTTAAAAAGTCACTTGTCTTTTCTTCTCTTATTTTTTTCCCCACTTGCCAATTCTCAGTCCTAGGTCACCAAGGGGCTCCTACGAAGAAGAAGAAGTAGAAGACAACAATCTGAAGGAAGCAGAAGTAATGCTGGAGCAAGTCAATCTGGACCAGGAGTCTCCCACCTTCATCCACTTTGAAACCGGACCATCCAATTTCCTCAAGTTTGTTTCTACTTCGACTTCGGAAGATCAGCCTGAAGCAGAGCTGGAGCAGCAGCAACAGCTTAGAGAAACCTTGGAGCTTGGAGAAGAGAATCAGAATGCTGAGGACAAGCTCCAAGAGAATGTTATAGAAGAGAATATGCCTGAGGAAGAGGAAGAAAAACAAGAGGTCAGGAAAAAAAAAGAATTATTTTTTTCCTACTACTACTTTGTATCTGAGAGGCCATAAAATGAAAGATGCATTTCTAATAAGGCATCTTTCAAGTATCCTTAATACTTTTTTCCAAATTGAAATTGTCCACTTAAATAGGAGAAATGAAGAAACATAATTTTAGCTGAAGATGGCCATTCTCTTATGCCTGAGAATGAAGGGGTTAAAATGAAAAGAGAACAGGTGGACAATACAGTAAATGGTCAAAAGAAGGCTATGAGAAAGCCGAACTCTAAATACATGCATAGCTTTGCATTCTACTGCTATTAAATAGTGAAAATTATAAAATTATAAGAGCGGGATGAAGATTACTAATCCTTGTCAGAAAGAAGAATAAAACAGGGATAAGATTCATAATGACTCTTAATTTTGGCCCAATTGTCAGTCTGGTTATTAAGCAAGGACTACCTGTAGTGCAAACCCAGCCATTGTAACTTACAAATAATTGAATATGGCTCAGCACAACATGACCTGAGTGATACATATATCCAAGTATTTTATCTTGATAAAACTCAGTTTTTTTTTTAAAGAAACCAAGTTTTGATAGGAGAGACTATTTATTTAGAGAAATGGTATAGAATGGAAAATGTATCTGGCTCTGCAATCTACATGTGAAAAATGGTGGTTGTGGATTTAGATTGTGTTGGTAGGAACATGGCTTTCTTAAAAGTGTACTGAAGAAATATAACAAAAAAGTAATACAACAGCTTTAAATTAAAATATTGATTAAAATGAATTAAAAACTATGGGCTATTGATATAACACTCATTCCTATAGCTTATTATTAAATGTAGCAACACAGGACTTCATCTTCTTAGTGTTAGAATATTTTCTAAAGTCATTTAAAAAATGATGAATAATATAACTCTTGAAGTTGCTCTTCAACATCAAGAGTTTTTCCCCACCTACATATGTATGTATTTGTTGAACTCTTGCTTTGATAAAGCCAAAGTCCTTCATAAAATTTGATAAAAGAAGTGCTTTGAACACTGCACAAAGGCAACAAACTTCTCTGCTGTTACTTAGAAAAGTTTCCCTTCACAAGGTTCTGTGCTAGCTGGAAAAAATGTGGCTGAGCTGTTTTAAATGTGTTTATGGCACAGAGTTTGTGCTTATGCACATTCCAAACCATTTTTCTGATGCTTAGCCCTACTAGAAATAGCTAAACATTGAAGCCCTTAGTGTAGTAGAATCAGAGGTCCTGTCTCCCACCTCCACCCCAAATCTTCAAACCCTGCATGTAGGTTGCTGCCATAGATACTTTAGATTTTGTTTTCCAAAAAAGCAACTTGACTAGAAAACCTGCAAGACACTCTCCAGCTTCATACAAGATCAGATAATAGTCTAAACTGGCTTTTCTAAAACCCAGGATTTTTTAATTAAGTCAAAAGTGGCTGCGACTACAAGAAAGAATGAGCTATAAACCATGTATATACAAAGCCACAGACTCGCTTCACATTTGTCAGGCCAAGTCAAACTTAACTACATGCTGATTTCCTGTGACATACTGTATGCTGAGGTGGGTTCTCCTTAGCACGTTGTTGCTTTGTTGTGTTGACTGAGAAGAGAGGGATTGATTGCATTTGAGCAAATGCTCCCCTTCTATGCATTCCCATCCCTTCAGGACAAGAAAAGAAGGCGACATGAGCAAGAAGAGGTCCCAGAAAAACGACAGAGGACCCCAAGTACATCCAGTCAGGAAGACGAGTGTCAAACTCCTTTAAGCCCAACATTAAAGGTATATGTTGAGTTGCGTAGGAAGGCATGGGAAATGCTGACTAACAGATCAGTTTATAACTACAAGCCCAAAGCCTTGTAGAAGTGATCAAAGTAGAGGAACACCCAAAAAGTTTTCTACTAGCTTCCAGTCAAGGTCAACAAGGTTTGTTGTTTGAGGGCTTTTTGAATAGTGTGCTAGGCCCTTCTTCAGGGAGTTTCAAGAGTTTCAAGGGATGGAATAAGTACTTTAAGCATATCTACTGTGTTTCTCCAAAAACACGACCCACCCCAATAATAAGCCCAACCCAAATTTTTTGGAGGTGGGCCTAATATTACACCTACCCCAAAAATAAGCCCAGAGGGATGGGCGTGGCCAGCACAAGTGGTTGCATGGGTGTCGGGGTGGGTGGGAGGCAACTGTCCAGCTTCAACTGCACCCCGCTTGCTCCTTGGGGCAGCCCGCTGGCCCCTTGGGGCAGCACAAATACCGCTTTTGCCCTTTTCTTTCTGGGGCCAGCGCTTCTGCTTGTTGGGCTGCTTCCCCGAAGCCGGCAGCTCAATGGCCAGCTGCTTTGCTTTTTCCCTCTTTTTGAGAGGCTCACAGGAGGCTTTTTGGTGAACTGGGGGAAAATGGGGAGGGGGATTTTCCTGGCTGTCATCCTTCCCTCCATCTGTGTTGAGCTTGAAGGTTTGGAGTGGAAGCGATGGTGCGTCCACAGCACATCCAGCTCACTGAGTCTGGCCTGCTGCACCTCAAAAAAAGTAAGACCCCCTCAAAAATAAGCCCAAGTGCTTATTTTCAAGTCTAAAAGAAAATAAGACTCAGTCTTATTTTCTGAGAAACACAGTATGTTTTCCTCTCAAATTCCCTAAATGTCTGACAGCATAAGAAAGGGAGCAAAATCTTGGCCGTACTCATTTTTCTTTTTGGAAAGGAAGTTGGCACCAACCAGCATTTTGTATCTTTCCTCAAGACCACTGTCCAAATGAAGCCTGTTGTTTCTGTTTTTTAGATCACTGACAGGACTGAATCTTTCAACCGATCTGTGCAGAAAAGGTAACTTCTGATGAAATAATAACTCTTCCAAGCTGTGTGACCTTTAAGTTGGATACTGGTAGCTGTCGCTCTAAGTAATTTTATTTGTACACTGTTTTTCTGGATACAATCTTCCCAAGTAACTAAAGACAGAGGTAAAATCTGTTATAACAACATGAGGCCCAGTTCAGCAGTATACGTTAAATAAAATGAAATGAAAATAAGAAACTTTTAAAATGCCACTTCAAATGCCAAATATAGGGTACAAGCATGTGGATAACATTTAGAAGAAAGCTCAGGAGTTATGATGCCACCTATTGAAAGAGCTTTGCTGTGAGCTCTGCAAATAATTCAAGATGGATGCTTTGTTCATGATCATTGTGTGTCTGAAAGATCACTTTTTAATGTGTTGAGCTGAAGAAAATATTTCCTCTTAAGGCAATTTCTCCATCTCTCCAGTATTCTATTATGCATTCTTTCTAGGCAGTCAGAATTTATCAAGCAAGTTAAAATATTCATTGAATTTACTCAGGGTTCAGGGTTCAGTTAACAAATCAGTCTGAATTGTTACTGCCACTTGTTCTTCTTGTGTATGTTTATACTAAGCTGCTGTTTGCTTAACTAAAGGCTACTAAATAAACTCCATTTGATACAGATACAGATAACCATGAATCATGATTTACAAATCATCTTGGCTGGGTCCCTATACAAAAACTAAGCCATAAATAAGTCAGCCTCATTGCCATTCAGTGTGCTATGTGATTTATGCAAATTGTGGAAATCACCAATAATAATTCTGACTAAACAATGGTGATTAGGCTCTGAAATGTTGGGTCTGTGGTAAGCATCGTTTCTACCATCTTCTCTCCTTCCAGTAACAGTATGAAGAAGACCCAAGCACCACTTCCAGTTTCCAAGATTGATGATAAACTTGAGCAATACACTCAAGCCATTGAGGTGAGTTTAAACTCACTGAGTTTGACAAGCTTTTCAAAGAAGTACTTTTGGGATCGTCCTAAGAAATGTGTTACAGCAAGCCCATTCAAAAGCCTAATTCCATTGATTGTCACTCATTGGCAAGTTAACTGAGCACTACTGTCACCCATGCAAGATTTTACCTTTGGATGTGTCTCTGCAGATGTCCTCCTTTTCATGGCAGCCAAAAAGTAGAGTTGTATTAAAAAAATTTTGTTTGGCAATTAATTCCCAATGGGGTTAAAATCCACCTTCTTCTGGTACTCTAACCCTTGCTTATGGATGCTGAACCTGGCTGATGGTATTCTCCTTTGTCTTATTTGATGTAACTGATTTATGACTATGAAATGAAGGCAATGTGTGTGCCACAGGTGTTTTGAGCTTTCTTGCACTGTTTTCCTTTGCATGGCCATTGATAGATTAGAGCCATGGTGGTGCGGAGGTTAGAATGTAGTATTGCAGGTTACTCTGCCCAGAGTTCAATCCTGACTAGCTCAAGGTTGACTCAGCCTTCCATCATTCCGAGATCGGTAAAATGGGGACCCAGATTGTTGGGGGGTTAATGTGCTGACATTGTAAACTACCCAGAGAGGGATGTAAAGCACCATGGGATGGTATATAAGTCTAAGCACTATTGCTATTATATTGGCACAAAGGCTGTCAGGAGGGGACATTTTCTGATCAGTTGATGAATTGGATAGCTACCACAATGCTGATTCTGCCCAATGGGTGCATCAACTCAATGGTGCATACAGATGTTTGACTATAAGAGAGAGATGGTTTTAAACTAGAAAGCCAGTTCACCCTTATATTATTTTGCAGATCTCCAGCAAAACTCCGAAGCCAGCGCGCCAACCTTCCATTGACCTTCCTACCAATAGCGCCGCAGTGGCTAGCACAAAAAGCCTCTGGGAGACTGGGGAAGTGGCTCAGTCATCTACAAAATCAACACCCTGCAAGGTAACTACTACTACTACTACTTTTTAAAAAAGAAAATGTGGTCAAATCCCTACTATTGGAAATAAACAATTTCTTCTACAGATATTGATCTTGTGATGAAAATGATGTCAGGGTATAAATATCACCAACGAAATGGTACCAATATGGACTCTAGATTTGACTTGAGTTGCAAAACATAAAGACTTTTTTCACAGAGGGCGCTTCTCACGTCTGTTTTCTTCCTAGGACATTGTGGCTGGAGATATTGTGAACATAAGAAGCCTTTGGGAGCAAAAGGAGAACCCCCAAACAGATACAAATTCTAAGGTGAGGATAGCTTCTTCCTTTGGGAGAAATGCAATGATGAAGCTTAATTTTTCTGTATAAGTGGCCAAGCATGTTAGGCCTGGTGGGACATTGCTGGAAGAGGACCAAGAAGTGATGCAAAATGAAACAACACAGCAGCTTCATTTTACTTTTCCTAATGTAGCTTTGAAAAGATGCTTCGCGTAAAGCACTGTCAAATTAAAGCACCCTTCAAGGACTTCTATAGCCATCCTGTGACTATTAAAAGGAAGATTTTTTTTCCCATTATTGTGGCTGTATGCAGTTGGCTCTTCCTTAGCTCATTGAATGCAAGCTCTTCTATTCATGGTATTAAAGGAAAATTGTTCCACCAAATCAAGTGAAATATGTATTTAATTCAGTGTTTTATTTTGCTAGAAGCATAGTAGCTGCCCGAGGAAACCCACAACCAGGTCAGGAGTGTGATAGCATCTTCCTTGCGCTTCCCAACAAATGACGTATAGAGGCACATTGCCTCTACCTATGGAGCTAAAAACAAATGTAAACATTGATTAATCCTGGGTCACATATTCCTGCCCAGTTCCTCCGCACAAATCAGAATTCTATGTTCTTCATTGTCATCATCTTTTTGGTTGATGTGAATATCTTCATCCAAAAAGGGGATGGAAAGGAGTTGAACACAGGGAAGGAAAATTTGCAAGTAAACTAGCTCTGAGGTAGTTGTGAAAATATGTTCTTAATTTTCTATGAAAATGGATTGGATATATTTTTAAATTCCATGTTAATGGCCAACCCCGGAAGGTTGTGTCTTTTTCAGCCCAACATCTCAAAGGGTTGTTGTTATGGGAAAATAGGAGGAGGGAAAGAGTTTCAGGCATGTTTGCTGCTCGTTATTTGTAAAAATAATATAGGCAGGATACAAATTAATAATTTAAAAATAAAAAATAAAGTTATGAATTTCTCCCTTATATGCAACATATCACACAGTAAAGCAGATCCAGGAATTTGGAATATGGTTTTGAGGAAAAGAGTCAAGAGATTGAAAACAATGGATGATTTAAATAGATATAAAGAAAAACCTCTGATGCTTTGTAAAGTATTAACACAAATATTTAAGGAGTGAAGAGTGGATGGGAAACAGAAGGGGGGAGAGAGAAGGAGTCACCAAAATTCCCCTTATGTTCTCTTTTCCATTTTGTTTTTTCTATCTTTATTCTTGATCCTGTTCTCATTTTATTTATTGCATTTTTGGGGGGAGGGGGAAGGGAAATGTATGCAACTGCATATCTTACATAAATAATTCTGAATGCCTAACAACCAGTTCACAAGGAAAACAATGCAATATAAAAAATAAGTATCATTTAAAGCAGCGTCCCCAACCTTTTTGGCCCCATGGACTGATGATGGCTGCGGGTGGGGGGAGAGGATGGCTTCCCACCCTTGGCTCCCACTTTCAGGGCTTGGTTCCCTATGGGCTGCAGACTGGTACCCATTTGTGGACCGGGAATTGGGGATCTCTGATTTAAAGTGTAGGAGCATCTGGAATAACAATTCAGCAGACTTGCTTGTTAACTTTTAAGCTATCTTTCTGCAGAGGTTTGAGGTGATTTTGGTTTTTGACATAGAGGTTCAGGTTTTCCTGGTATCGAATAATGAACTGTAATTTAAACTTCTAGGCCAAAGAAAAAATGAACAAAAGCACAGTGCATCAAATCAGCCCATATTTGATGGCTAATGGTCAAACTGAGTTTTTTTTCAAAGCACTTAAAAAACTGGGGCGGGGGGGAGAATAGTAAGGATTTGGGTTTTAACCACTGAAATTACAATTTTTCATCCTCATTTTTAGGTCAAGATTCCTGGCAAGAAATATAAGTATGTGGCAACTGGACATGGACAGTACAAAAGAGTGCCAATAGAAGATGATGGGGTGACGGAAAAATAGCTGTGTTGGTGCCAAACTCACAGGTAAAGGCTGATGTACTAAATAGCATTTGCAAGTTCTTTTTGCACATATAAAGTCAGTAATATTCACCAAGTGCTGACTGGCTTTGCTATCAGACTTCTACATGCAGAAGCAGAAAGTGCTCCTTTATAAAGTGACTTTTTGTCATGTTATTAAGATAATGGACAATTCAAACTTGGTCCTTTATTGGTACAGTCACATTTTAAGCTCAAAGGATTGGATTTTGAGTATTTAAGGAATGATTTAGGTGGTGTATTTTAAGGGATGTATGGGGGAGGCATGCCTTTACTTAGAGTAACATTTCTCAACTCTCTACTAGCAATGAGAATCCATTTTTTTCATAGAAACACTTTATTCAATCTACATATTCAATGTTTATAAAAATTGTTTTCGAGTCAGGATTTCATATGAACTGCCTTTAAAACATGTGGGTCTATAGCTGTGAAAAGAATTCTTTCAATGTTGGTGTAACGACAACCATCCTAGCACTTACTTATGATAAGTTCAGAAAAAGCTTAGAGCATCTTTTGCTTCCATCACATCACTGTTCCTTTTCTTACCGTATATCTATTTCTCTTAGGAACCAAACATTTCTATTTCCTCATTGCTCAACATACTTTCCTTGTCTTATATTATCATCTCAAAACATGGCACTTACTCTACTAGACATTTGAAACCTTAGTGTGGTTCATGTATCCTTTCTTTACTTATACTTCTCTCTCAACCCAACTAATTTTAGCTAAAAAAACATATTTGAAGATGTCTGAAACTGAACTTGGCTTTTATAACTATTTAAAAGAATAAGGCAGTTTAATCAGTCCAGGACATCTTTGTCTTCTACTATATTGCCCTTAAAGTTAGGACAGAAGATTTTAACATTACTTTGCTTTACTTGCCTGACCTTTATGCAATACAGCATGGGATACCCTTAGATTCTTACCTATACACAAACTTTAAGACACTGTTAATATAAATAATGAGTAGAACACACCAATTAAAAGTGAACGCAAACATATCAGTTGACTCAGTTTGGCAAGTGGTTGGTAGGAAACCAGTTTTCCTGCCTGCTGCAAAATTCAACATTTAGATTCTTAGCGCTGAGGTACTGCTAAAGATATGTAGGAAAGTGGCTAGGAAGTTCTGGTGTTCCATATATTCGCACTAAAGGAGACTGTGCTCCATATCTTACATGCCCATTTGAGATTTCTTGAAGCAACAGGCAGCTGACAGAAAAATCTGTTTTCCAATGATCTGATAAAAAACTATGATCTACTACTGCATGTCATATGATGAAAGTGTAAATACTGGAATAGCCAAAAAGAACTCAGGGATTCCCTTCTATCCTTTCTGTGATGGCATTTTTGGAATAGTATATTTGCTGTCATTCTTCTGGCAATTCTTCTGAAAAAAAACAACAACCCAGATCATGAGGTGATAGTAGTCCTCTGTTCTATGATATAAAACAGGGGACTTGCCAAACAACTATAATAGCCTAAAATCTGCTATCCACATCACACTTTTCAAAGCATCAATGCTGGAGTAAAAACTGGGCATACAACTATATACAATGAAACTCAACTCATATTAATACTCTTTCTAGCTCAGGGGTCACCAACCTTTTGGACCTCAGGGACCACTAAATTCATAATTTTACATAGTTGTGCAATATAAAAAATGCAAATAATTTTTCTGCGGACCACCAAAATTTTCTCGCAGACCACCAGTGGTCCGCAGACCACACTGGTTGGTGACCGCTGTTCTAGCCAAACTGAACATGAAGGATGTGTACCTTTTTCACAGCTTGGAAGGATTGAGTGGCATTCCTCCTTATTCACTCTACTTATCCACAACACTGTGGAATGGGATGGTTGAGCATTCATTGGGGTGGTTAAACAAGCAGACATAAAGAGATAATTGTACAGTTTCTCAGGCAGATGCTATTTTAACCAGCTCCCATTTCTCACTTCAAGCCATCCATTCTCAATTTGTGATTGTGTAGAGAAACAGAAATGTGAGATTAGCTGATGATACATGGAGAAAACAATAGCTGGAACATCTTTATGCTGGTGTTAGAAATCACTGTGAAGCATATGCATACACAACTTGGCTCTATGAGGGGATCGTGTCAAGGATTCCTAAATTCACCTTGAGTCTAGTTTGATAGTCAAGACCTTATCTGGATTTTGGCAGGTAGGGTTTTCCCTAAATCTTCCCAATTTTGCTGCTGATAGCAGATAGTCATGTTTTGCAACTACCAATGGGAAAAAGATAGTGAAATGGCCGAAGATCTATGCCATTAATCCCCAAACTGCCAAGTGGGGATATAAAATACTAAGTCCATGGCTATTGCTCTCCTACATCAGTAGCCATTGGCTACTTCCTGTTTTACAGTTAGTTAGCATTGGGGATATTAAAATGCCAATTTAGCAATAGCATGTTTGTAATATCTTTCCATGAAACAATGATATGAATGTTTGACTCTTCTGCGTTCTTACAGTATCTCAGTGGAAAACATTCTAGATGGCTTAGCATAAAAGCATTACTCTTTTATGAATCCATGGCTAGTGATGGTGGTGATAATGATAAGTTCTTTTCAGCTTCCCTCCATGAGTTAGGGATTTTTTTTTTTTTTGTCAATTTTCTGGAGCTGATTGCTCAAGTATTGGCAATTGCCTGACATCATTTAAAAGCTAGGTTCAGTGGGGTAAATTGATATTTGCACAGGATTTTCACTGTTTTTGATATGTAAAACTGGTCTGCAGCTGCTTCCTAGGGGAAAATAGCCTTGACATGGTCATGCTATATTTTGCAAATGGTTAACTTGATTTCATTGCAGTTAAGAGAAGCACAGAATTGTCCAGATTCCACAACTTGGGTTTCTGTTGAGGTGGGCCCGTGAAAAAAATATTATCCTGACTCTTGTGCAATCAATATTGCTTGCCCTTTTTCTTAATTCAGTGTTTATTTTGTGATGCTGCAAATGGTACGGCTACCAGAGCACCTTAAGGAAAACATCTTTGTTAAAGGGCCTATTCATCTGGCATAGGCTCTACTCTAGGAAGGTGCATCTATGAGATACTAAAGAGCAGGATTCTTTTGATGGAGAAACTAAAATTTTGTCTCTACAGAGGCCTGCAAGACAACTTTCTATGCTCATATGAGCTAAGCTTAATCTTTTAATCTTTTCAATGTCATATCTTTAGGATCTGAAGCCATCTCGAACCTTGTTCTTGTATAACTGTTGATTTCAAACTGCAATTTTGTGTGCATTGTTAGTATTACAATTTAGATTTAGACGGTGTATGAGAAACATTCATTTTTTCCTGCCAGAAACATGAAAGTAGCTTGTGAAAACCACCATTGCTCCTACTATAATCCCAGTCATCTTGTCCTCTAACCAAAAGGCCTAAACCTCTGGACAGCATTTGACCTCAAAGTGGGATGGGGAGAGAGAACATGTCTGAACATGTGTGTACCATGATATGGGATGATTGTTTGGCTTTATTCAAAATGCTTTTGACTGAATATGGAAGAAAAGCCAAGAACTTTGGCATTATTTTAGAATAAAAGGTAGGCTTGGTGGAGCAAGCCAATACATTTCTTTCCCATCCTATATTTATTTGCTTTAACTTCTTTCTTCTATATAGGCTGTTATTCTGAAAAAAAACCCACAAGACTCTCTCTCTCTCAAGCCCCATGTTAAAACTGAGTAAAACAGGCGTATTCATTTTTTGGTATTATAGACAGTAACCCTGCATGAAGGATTTTATTTTATTTCCCCCCCTCCTCTCAAGTGCTGTTTTAGTAAAATCTGGATTTATTTCATATTCTCTCAGCCCACTGATCATCTTCTCAAGGAATCATCTATTCTTCTCTTTCCTTCATCTGCCACCCAGATGCCATCCTATTAAAACCCGTCTGCGTTTCTTCAGGGGGTTGGCGTTGGATACGACGCACATCAAACAGAGTAGTGATCTTTGTCATGGGTTTAGAAGCCAGCTCTTTAAGTTTCCGGGCATCAAAGCGTGGCCTGTGAAGAAGCAGGGGTAAGCGTCGCCGGAATGAAAACATCCCCTCTTTTCTTATTTCCTTTTCTTCCTCAGCTTGTGGCCTTTTTTCCTTGCTGATGGTCATCTGGTACAAGATGGCATCCCACATCTTGATGGCTTTTGATTTGGTTCCTTTTTTCTCCTGACTTGGATCCGCTTCCGAGATTTCAGTTATTGCCTTTTCTCTCCCTTCCTCTGGTTCAGATTCTGAGACAGGGAACTGAGGAACATCAGGTTCCACTACCAAGTGTTTTTTCAGACGAGACCAGCCACTAAGTTTGCTTTTGGGGGGCACTGTTGGCTTTGATTTGGGGGATGAGCTGGCAGGACTTTGGGAGACAGATAGTGGTGGTGGTGATACAGCCTGCTGGTTTATCTTTTCTGGCAAGAGCTCCTTCATACTGACAGTGGACGGTGCAGGAAGGATTGTTTCTGGCCCCATATACTGTGATGTGTTGGAGCCTGACTGTCTCTGGACTTCAGTGTGTGGTTCAGGGCTTTTGCTGTTTCTTGGGGTTAGAGGCCTGTCCAGCTGATGAGTTGGGGATGTAACCACGGTATACTGCCTAGGGATATGGAGTATTTCAGCTTTCATTTTCCTGGCGGGTGGTTCAGGGGGTGCAGAAACATCTAACTTGGGTGTAAGTGACCTGGGATGCTGTACAAAAGATGTGCCATATGTCTGGCTTGATAGTGAGGCTGCATAGTTGGTTTGCAAATGAACGCGACTTGAATATTCCTCTGGCTGCCCTATTAGTGGAGACTTAACCCTTGGTGCTTGCACACTATGAAAAGAGGAATGCGTTTCAGCCACATGAGTGACCATGACTGGAGTCTCCACTTGAGGAGTGTAGGAAATGGGATGTTCATGAGAAACAAAGGCAGGGGACAAGCGAGTAGGGGGACCTGAAGGGAACTCTGTGGATTGCCTTGGTGACTCGGGAGTTGTCGGTCTGTAATGCGGAGATATGGCAGGTGAGACTGTTAGTTTAAGATGCTCTGAAAGACTCCTCTGTTCTGTAACTGTGAACGTGAAGGGTCTTGCTTTAGGAAAAGGAGAAGGAACATGATGGATGATGGGCTTGACTGAAAAACGAGGTGGAAGTTTGATAGTGAGGCGGACTTCAGTTTCTGTTGGCTTGAGTGGGGAAGTGCGTTCATTGTGCTCCAAGTCTGGACTAGCTTCACTTACAGGAGACAGATTAGACCGGAATGATGTGGTTGATTGTGCTGATAAGGTGGCCTTCTTCTTTGCTGCTTTTTTCAGAAGCTTCTGTAGCCTAAGGTTGTCAGTTCCAGGTTTTGGTAGAATAGGTGGAGGTGGAGCCTGCGATTGGAGAGTGATAGGTTCATAGGGTGGCGTCACCGTTATCAGCATTTTGACCCCCTAAATCAAAACAGAAAAATGCATTTTTTTACAAGTTACTTATTTCAGGTTTCTAGCCTCCAAAACATATAGGGTTATTGATACAAACATTTTGTTCAGGAAAGATTAAATCCATTAACAAGATACCTGTAAGAAATGAACCAGGATAGCAACCAAAGATTTCCAGGCCAGGCAGCATCATTATATCAGCATTCAGATGACTTCCATTCTCAAGGCAATGAATGGCCCAATTTTTATTGAAAATTTAAATTTTGGAACCCAGATACTTATTTTTGTGTGCATATATACCTTCTATTTTGTCTTCAGCAAGAAAACGTATTTAGCCATGTTGTTTCTGCTGTAAGCAAGGTTCTTAAATGCAGGATTGCGTGTCTGCAGAGTTGAAATGTATTGCTGCATTTGGCATGAAGCCTGAAATTAACTGTTTTCAAATAATTTAAAGATAAAAATGCTTAAAAATGCTAAAACCTCTTTAGGAGACATCAAATTGATATAAATCAGAAAAATGTGGGGATTGGGCTATGATGTCTCTTTATCACATTGGAAACCCCCCATTTCATACAACTTCACAAAAATTAGTCACAGTATCTCAGAGCTGATGCTTTTCAGTGCCTGGCTGAACCTGCCACCCCTAAGCTCCTTGATCAGTGTTCTTAACCATCAAATGTAGATTGAAAATACTAAATGAACAATGACAAGTTTTTATTATTCTGATTAAGCTGCCTTCCAATATGTGAATCATGCTCAAACGTTCTGAGATAGAAAGAAGAATCTATCTCAGGATGAATGGTTGTCCATTATAAAAAAAGGGAAGTCTTTATGTGTATGATTCTAGCTTTCCACAAAAACAGTATAAGTACTCCATCTTCTTTGGAATCTGAAATGCATAGAGCCAGTGCAAGCAGCCTTCTCTTGTTCACATATCCTCAAGCAATAAAGGAGATTGGAAAAAAGCTGGTGGCAACGGGGTCACACAATTTATAAGACATGCCTGACTAGGTAGATCAGTGGCTATGACACTGAGCTTGTTGATCAGAAAGGTCGGCAGTTCAGTGATTCGAATCCCTAGTACAGATCTCCTGCGTAAGCAGGGGGTTGGACTAGATGACCTCTAAACAGTGGTGGATTTCAAATTTTTTTACTACCGGTTCTGTGAGTGTGGTTTGGTGGGTGTGGCAGGGGAAGGATACTGTAAAATCTCCATTCCCACCACACTCCGGGGAAGGATACTGCAAAATCCCCATTTCCTCCTAATCAGCTGGGACCTGGGAGACAGAGAATAGATGGGGGCTGTAGTCAGAATTTTTTACTACCGGTTTTCTGAACTACTCAAAATTTCCGCTACCGGTTCTCCAGAACTGATCAGAACCTGCTGAAACCACCTCTGCCTCTAAGGTCCCTTCCAACTCTGTTACTGTTACTGAGATGATGTTATAGGAGTGATTGATTCCATGGCTGCAATCATTAGTTCAAAGTGTTAGGGTTGTTAAATCACTAACTGAGATAAACTCATATCATTACCAATATGTTTTATTATCTCTGTGATCTTCAGACTTTCTTACCTATTTGCCCCAATGCTAGACTTGTACTTGGCTGGCAGCAAAGCCCTTGAGAGAGGAAGGAAATAGGCAAGTTCTCCTCACTTCTGAATCTTTAAAGTCCTATCTGTATGCTCCTTCCCCCACCCTCATCAATGTGTTTCAGAAGGCAAGCCAGCAACAATATGCAAAGCTTAGATTTGATTGTATTTGAGATATGATATTCGTTCTTGGAAACAAGTTTTTCTCTTTGCATGCTGACAGCCCCACTTCTGCTACAATATCAACCAAGGGTCAGCAAACTGTGAAATGTGAAACATGAGAGCCAAGAAGCTCATGCACGAATTGAATTTTAGCTCCTGGCAAGAAATAGTATTGAATTTCACTTGCAAAAGTTCATGAAGTCTGTCCTTCGTGCTTCTCCTTGGTGATCTGATCACAACTGATTTCAGCTGCTATGGTTTGCAAGCCAAAACCCATGGCTCAACTGATAGCTGGTCCTTTGGGAAGGAGCTGAGCATCTACAGGAATGGAAAAGTCCCGTGTTTAGTGCATATCCACGCTTCTCATGTGCAGAACAAACATTGCCAACTGGCTCAAAGAGCATTTGCTTAAGTTGCAAGCCTAACTTTAAGCACAAACGCATTACCCTTCTGGATAGATGAATTTTTGATCTGAGTAAAGAGGCCCAGAGTATACCTTTTGCAGGGTTGCTGTAATTTCCAAATCTCATTTTTATATGCAATACATTGGCTTGGAAGTGATTAGAAACACAATTCCGGAATCCAATCCACATAGCAAACAATCCATGGGAGGATAGCTCCCGGTCTTCCCAGTAAATTTGAAGATGTGACTACAGATGCCAAAAAGATTGCTAAAAATTGCAGCTGCTCATGGATAGCTTACCATACACAGCAGCTGCCAAATACAGCCACCATTTAGATGTAATCTGTGGGATGTAGGCTGCAGACTGCTTCTATCGCTTTCAAAGAGTAATTTGCATATTTCCCTCTTATTTGGATCAGTGTGTGGGTCCTCTTAGTGAAAGAAAACAGCCTTGAATCAGCTTGTAAGAAAAGAATGATCCCTTTTCCCAATCACACATTAAATAATGAATTTAGGAAACAAAATCCCCTGTGCTTCTTGTAACTAGCTTCTTGAGTATTGGTTGCATCCACACATTATGCTTAAGTTATAATGTAATTTTATTCCATTTTAACTTTGTGGGATATATGAACTGAGCCACCTTCTTTGGAAATGAAGAGAATAGGGAAAAGGAAAGGATATAACCCTAAATAAGTGGCAGGCAGGCAGGCGAATTAGTGAATTCTGTATTGTGCTTAATAAGCGTTGTGTACAAAATCATGGCCAGGAGATGGGACTACATATAAATAGAATTATATTTAAAGATGCTTCTTAGATGAAAACCTCAACTAAGTATACAACATATACAACAAATCATTAAAACCTGGTGTTATACACAGTAACACATAACAATTAAAGAACAGGATAAATAGATAGATAGATAGATGATAGATAGATGATAGATAGATAGATGATAGATATAGATAGATGATATAGATGATAGATAGATGATAGATAGATAGATGATATAATGATATAATGATAGATAGATGATAGATATAGATAGATGATAGATGATAGATAGATAGATGATAGATGATAGATATAGATAGATGATATAGATAGATGATAAATAGATGATAGATATAGATAGATGATATAGATGATATGATAGATGATAGATAGATGATAGATATAGATAGATGATATAGATAGATGATAGATAGATAGATGATAGATGATAGATATAGATAGATGATATAGATAGATGATAGATAGATAGTAAAACCCTATGAATGGAATGAGACAACTCACCACGGCCAACTCGCCATGGGATAAGTCACTGTGGGAGAATTCAACAATTCAATTTATTTAAAATAATTTAAAAAATTATTTTAATTTTTCTCATTCACATTTCATTTTATCCCTCCCCTGGCATACTTTCTTTAATTATTTCACTTATTTCTTTAATATTAATGTAACTCTTGTGTTACACAGTGAGTCGTCGCCTGGCAAGTTATCCTAGAACACCCCCCTCCCTTAATTCAGTTAAAGCCAAGATGATAAGATTCACTTGTATAGTGTAGTTGAAGTTGAAGCCAATTGAGCTTTGTTAGACTTCTGCTAATGCAGAGGTCTTCAAACTTGACAGCTTTAAGACTTCTGGACTTCAACTCCCAGAATTCTCCAGCCAGCCATGCAGTTGAAGTCCAGAAGTCTTAAAGCTGTCAAGTTTGAGGACCCCTGTCCTAATGGAATGCAGAATACTTCCGAGAATATCTTTTTCTCAATTGCTTTGAGAAATAAGTATATAATACAAATGACTTTGACAGATAGGCACAGAATTGGCATTATGGTATGTTAACCTTAAATGAAGGATAGGAGTAACTTGGAATAGATAAAGGTGAGCTTTAAATTAAGCTGAGCTCGGAATGTGTAAAGATTTAAAGAGTTTAAAGGCCAATATCAATTTTTTAAAATTGGACTTGAAAATGCAGAATATAACACAGCAGAGACTGACTACTTGACATTTGTCCATACTTTAAGCAGCCACATTTTGTATCTACAAGGTAATCTGAAAACAATCTGTCTTTAAAGACAAAGCACATAGACTATATTAAAGCAATATGAATATAAACAAACGACCTGCCATTTCCAGATACTATCGCAATTGACACAACAACCTAAGCTGATAAAAATGTTTCCGGTGACTACTACTATTAAAGGTCTTCTGAGATAAAGACTATTTCTGAAGTCCTAGTGAAGTATTTGACTGAATGTAGGAACACAATTGTACATACAGGCCCATTTTAACTGCCTAAATATTGGTATATTCAGAGCTCCAGTTGTATTCGCTTGAATCTAAAAACAGCCTTTAGAATTGCTGTGAATTCTATTTAGCTCCCTGAAAGGAATGTTGACAGAATTGAAAAAGTGCAATGTTGCCCACATATTGATCACACCTCTGCATTAATATTGAGAAGATTTCATTTTCAATAAATTTTATTTTGCTTTTTTGTTTTAAACCACTCGGTAGGTAAAGTCACTCGGTTTTGCTTAAAGTTGGGATTTCAGCTTTGCAGGTCCTATGAAGCTGACTAGGCCATGGTTTCATATTGATATACACGGGAGGAGTTTGAGACTGTTCATCTTGAGGAAATGCGTACTTGGCATAGTTGCTTTAACTATCCATATTTTAGATTTTTTTCTCTTCCGCGTTAAATCCTCAAAGGAGGGGCCAGGTGAGTGAATTCATGCAGTGATTTTTTAAGAGGGTGGTGGTGGTACCACAAGCTTTGACAGAGGTGCTGTGTGCTTTCTCCTTAAGAAACATTTTTGGAACCAATCAATTTGGACAATTTTCACCTTGCCTACAAATTTTCCTTTCTAGATTCAGGCCAGGATACAGTACCAGGAGCATGGGTGAAATCCAGCAGGTTCTGACAGGTTCTGGAGAACTGGTAGCGGAAATTTTGAGTAGTTCAGAGAACTGGGAAATGCCACCTCTGGCTGACCCCAGAGTGGGGTAGGAATGGAGATTTTGCAATAGCCTTCCCCCAGGAGTGGGGAGGGAATAGAGATTTTTCCACTCCTTCCCCTGGAGTGGGGCGGGAATGGAGATTTTGCAGTATCCTTCCCCTGCCATGCCCACCAAGCCACACCATGCCCACTAAGCCACGCCCACAGAACCAGTAGTAAAAAAAAATTGGATTTCACCACTGACCAGGAGTCTTTATGCACTTATGGATAAGCTCCGGTGGGTGTGAGATTGTGGAAGTACACCCATCCTGGTTCTCCTTGATTCTCAATGGCCTTCAATGCCACTGATCACAGTTCCTTTCTGGATTGGCCCGGAGGGTTGGGACAGGAAGGCATAGTGTTATGTTGATTTTTCTTTCTCGAGGGGAGGGGAGGGGGGCATTCTAGTTGGTGTTGAGTGCTTCTTTCTAGCATGCCTCAGGGCTCTACACTCCCTGCTTCTTTTTGGCATCTAAATAAAATCACTGAGGGAGGTCATTCATCTACATGGAATGTATGCTATATGTGAGCATGGCACAGCCTGACAATTAGGGACTCTCAACTCTCATTTGAAGGGCAAATGGCAACTTTGGCCAGAAGGGCCTTTGGACAACTTTATCTAGTGTGCCAGTTCTACTCATTCCTAATCTGGAAGGTCCTGCTTGCAGTCACTCATATTCTAGTCATCTCCTGGCAGGCCTTCAGGAAAGCAGTAAAAACTTCACTTTTTCAGCATGCCTTGAGGCCAGGATAATTGGAACTTCTTTCTGGATGGGTTATGAATGTGATTTACTGGTCACTATGGACTCCTTGGATTTTAATTATTTGTCTTGTTTATCATAAGAGTTGAAATGCTGCAGCTGAGCAATCATATACATTCTTAAATAAAATTAAATGAATTTGGCAACTTTGGTAGACATTTGGCAACTTTGAAATCATTCCTGAATTAGCTATGGAGGAAAGAACTTGTCACTTTGGGCCAATCATTTTCTTTCAGCTCCCCTTACCTCCCACTTATTTATTTATTTATTTATTTTCAGATTTCTATACTGCCCTTCTCCTTTCGGACTCAGGGCGGTGAACAGCCAAGATAAAAACATTTATACACAAAAGTTAAAAATAGATTTAAAATAATTAAATAAATTTGGCCCGTAATTTAAAACTTTTCAATTAAAATCCATATCAAATTTTAAAACCAACCGTAAAATCAGGACAGCCCGGCTAACTGAAAAAAATAGGTTTTTAGGGCCCAACGAAAAGTCCGGAGGTCGGAGATCACTCGTATCTCTGGGGGTAGATTGTTCCAGAGGGTAGGTGCCACCACAGAGAAGGCTCTCCCCCTGGGGGTCGCCAGCCGACATTGTCTGGCTGACGGCACCCTATGGAGGCCCTCTCTGTGGGAGCGAACTGGCCGGTGGGAGGCAATTGGTGGCAGAAGGCGGTCCCGTAAGTATCCCGGCCCTAAGCCATGGAGCGCTTTAAAGGTGATCACCAACACCTTGAAGCGCACCTGGAAGTCCACCAGAAGCCAATGCAGCTCGCGCAGGAGAGGAGTCACATGGGAGCGCCCCGTCGCTCCCATAATCCCCCGCGCGGCCGCATTCTGCACCAGTTGGAGCCTCCGGGTGTACCCCAAGGGGAGCCCCATGTGGAGAGCGTTACAATAGTCCAGACGAGAGGTGACGAGTGCTTGAGTGACCGTGCGTAGGGAGTCCCGATCCAGAAAGGGGTGCAACTGGCATATCAGGCAAACCTGATAAAAAGCCCCCCTGGCCACGGCCGTCATATGCTCTTCTAAAGACAGCCGTGCGTCCAGGAGGACACCCAAGTTGTGGGCCCTTTCCGTGGGGGCCAATGATTCATCCCCAATAACCAGCGATGGCGCCAGCTGGCTATACCGGGACGCCGGCAGCCACTT